TCCTTGTCTTCACTACTGTTTGTATGCTTTGAAAAACTAAATCATCTGCAAGTTAAACTGCGAAGGCCAGCCTTCTTTTGCTTCCACTTGGCGTTGGAACACTGATCTTCCCCCCTTTTGACTTTGTAGTCGTTTTCAACCTGCAATCCTTGCAGGTTACGCCATGGTGTTTCCTGAAAGAACCAGCCATAATACGTGATGGCTGTGCTATTTTCTGTTCACTATCAGGCGCAGCTTATGGCTCGTCTTGAGTGGCGAGAGTTTCCGTAAGCGTTCACATTTATCTGAGCAGACACGATTGGTGAAGGGTAGGATTATTGTTCATGGTCTGTTCGGGTTGGATGTTGTTCGCTTTGATTTCTCTCTTGAGCCATTGTACTTATCTGGCCCTTTAATCTTTGGGTTCTTGGTATTACTTTTTATATTTGTGAGTCTTTTATTACTGTGTGTTCCATGCGTCAGACACTGTTTCTGAGTACTTCTTGATAGCGGCTGGTTTTGTCTCTGGTGAACATTCCTGAGATCTGCTTATCTGAGAATGTCTTTATTTCTTCTCATATACGAAGCTTAATTTTTGCAAGGGATCGAATACTCTAGGCTGGGCATTGATTTCTGTTTCAGACAAGGTGAGAATGGGCTCCCTAGTCTTCCGTTGGCTTGTGAAGTCTCATTTAAGCAGAATTCTTCAGTGGTTATTTCGAATGGCTTTCCTTGTTTACGGTCCATCTTGCTTTTCGTCTTACAGCTTTAGAAGCGGCTTCTTTAGTTGATATTTGTGTCAGGTCTGAGTGACTGGCATGTTGTGAACGTCTTCCTGTTTGCGTGGAATCTTCCAGGGGTCCTCTGAAGCTCGTGCAACTTGCATATCCGAGATTTTGAGCAAGGCCTGGGAAATTTCTTCTATTATAATCTTCAAATAGCTCGTGCCAACCCTTGAGTTGTTCTTCTTCACCTCTCATGGGTAACCCGTACCGAACCCTCACATGTAAGGTTTGATATTCTTCCAGCAATCGCCCATCTCTTGTAGGCTTTGCTCTTTTCTCTTGTTTCTCTGCTCTATCTCTGTGACTGATTTATTTAATTGGAGGATGTTATCTTTAATCTCTGAGATTCTTTTTTCTGTTTGATCTACTCTGTTCTTGAGACTTTCCACTGTATTTTGTAGTTCCCTGAATTGATTCTTCATTTCCAGGAGTTCGATTAAACTTTTCTTCATTGTGTCGATTTCTTTAGTGAACTTTTGTTCCAGATCCTGGAGGCTTTTTATGGTTTCTTTGTGTTGGTTATTGAGTTGTTGTGCAGGTCGGTGAGTGTTCTTATGATTCACATACGAAATTCCTCTTCTGTCATTTTGGTTGCCTGATTTTGGTTGGTGTCTGTTTCTAGGGGGCTGGTGCTCCTCGTTGGGGGTGTGTTTTCCATTTGGTTCTTCATATTTCCTGAGTTCCTTCGCTGATTCTTCCCATGTCGATCAGTTGTTGTTTCTTTCTTTTAGGTTTTTGTTTGGGTATTCACATACCTTGTTTAGTTTCTGAGCCAGTAGGTGGTGTCTGTGGGTGAGATTCGACCACTCCCTGTATAATGAGTCAGTAGGTGCCGTGAAAAGGCTGTGCAGGATGCCCTCCCTGTGAGTAGGTGGCGCTTGGTTGGGGGAACAGGCTACGCTGTTGTTTTTGTGTCCTGTTATCAGCTCTTCCTGTAGAGAGGCACTCTAGTGCCTCAGGTGGTTGGTGGGGCCCTGGGACTTCCAGGTGTGTCCTTTTCTCCCCCTCAGTGAGGGCTGGTCTAGGAGAGAGTCTGGGAAGAGCTGGATTGGGTAAGCCTGCCTTCAGGCACCACCAATGTCATTAGCAGGGGTCAAAGTTCTATTCTCTGCCTCTAGGAAAAGCTGTCAGGGAGGGGCTGGAATGATCCAGCTCGGTCAGAGAGTCTGTGTGTTGGGGTGGGGCTGTCTGAGACCCACAGTCTGGAGCAGGCCTGGCTTCTTTCCACCCTCCCCAACTGCGTGGCTACTTCTGCGCCTCTGCCAGCAGGCCAGACCACATGCCACCAGGCCTCCCCGGACTGTGATGCCGGCAGGGAGGTTCCCTGTGCAGAAACGCCACCTGGGCTGGGCGCAAGGCCTCCCTTTGGGGGGAGGGTTGCCCTCTAGGAAGCTGCTCTGTCCCTGGAGGCACACACACCTCAGTAGGCTGTTCATGTATATCCCTTTGCCCCGGGCAGTGTGAGACCTCAGTGCACGGGATCTGGTCTGCAGGTCTGACCTCTGGGTCCCAGAGTTCAAACTATATCTCCACCAGGGAGAGGAGTGCCAGTCCCAATTCACCTACGAGGAGCCCAAGCTGGGTCTGTCTCTTAGCCTCAGGGTCTGCCCCGTTCTCCTGGGATCACCGTACCAGCAGCACCTGGGAGTGCTGGCGGGTAGAGAGCTCACAGTCTGAGTTCCCCTTAGTCAGCTGTAGGGCCCCCAAAGGGAAGGTCTCGTTTCTTGTAGGTGCCTCGGGCTTGTGGCTATATTGTCTCTCTGGGCAGCCGCGGGTAGGGTCGGCGGAGGGGAGAATGAGGCAACCTGGCGCCTGCTGTGTGGCTCGGGTCTGTGCACACGGAGGTGCCCCGAGGGATTTGGGAGCCTGGTGCCGCATCCACTACTGGCTCACCGCTTACTGGCAGCGGCCATCACTGGGCTGGTGTCCGCAGGTCTCTCCACCCCCTGGAGAGCCCACCAGCAGTCCGAGATGCAGGCAATGGGTAAGGGCCGATCCACCTACCCTTCCTGCTGGTCTTCTGGCTGTTCCGGAGGTCTCAGCTTCCAGTTCTCCTCTGCGACCTCCTCCTGTGGAGTCTCCCATGGTCTCCGGTACTCCTCCTTCCGACCCTCGTCCAATGTAGGCTCGTCTTCTTGCTTCTTTCTTCTAATTTCTGCTAGAATCTGTCTTTTCTGCAGAGACACTCTGTCTGGCAGTGTTTCTCGTCCACCATCTTGATTCAATCCTTTTTTTTTTTTTTTTTTTGAGACAGGATCTCACTCTGTTGCTCAGGCTCTATAGAGTACAGTGATGTCATCATTAGCTCACTGTAACTTCAAAACCTGGGCTGAAGTGATCCTCCCATGTCAGCCTCCTGAGTAGCTGGGACTACAGGTGCATGCTACCATACCAGGCTAATTTTTAAATTTTTTGTAGAGATGGGGTCTCACTATTGCCCAAGCTGGTCTTGAACTCCTGGTCTCAAGTGATCCTCCTGCCTGGGTCCCCCAAAGTGCTAGGATTACAGGCCACAGTGCCTCACCTCTTTTACATTTTAAACTTAAGGAAAATAGGTATTAGGATTATTAAAAATGTTCAATTATTTTTCCTGTATAATGGAATATTAGAGGAAAGTGTTAGGAGATCATCCAATACTAGGCCCATGTGGATTAATAGGAATTTTCATTTAGTGTTTTATGTTAATGAATTGCTAAGCCACTGAATTTTCCCACTGATAATAAAAACAAAATTGCCTGAAGTCTGTTAATATTTTCCTCCCAGAAAAGGATTCTTTACTTGTAATTGTTAGAAGTCACTTGCATTATATTTTATACTGGTTAACACATTTATGTTGTTATTATAGGAAAATCTTTAGGTTATAAGAGAAAATTAGTTCGATAGTGTTGAACTTTTAAAAATATTTGTTATCTAACAGTAAACTATATACCCAAAGAAAGCTGAGAGATAACCTAGGATTTAAAACAACCACATGTGAGACCAGATAGGGTAATGGTAAGGAACTTAAACAATAGAGTTGATTGCTTGTACTATATCCCAGGTCTACTAAATGTGTGGTTATTGGACAGATTAACTAGCTGCTCAAGAACTAAATTAAATGACATAATCCACATAAAACATTTTACCAGAGTCTATGCTTAGTAAGCACATTAATACTTTAAGGAAAAAAATAGAGTATGATGTGGAAGAGGGTGATATATTGAGGAAATAGAATCTGACTTCCAAAAAATTTTTTTAGATGTTTAAAATTTTTTTAAAAGTCAGACAAACCATAATTTGCTTTCTATTTTATAGCGTACTGTTTGGGGAATACAGATCTTGAAAGATGACGATTTATGAGAGTCCTTTGCAAAAGGAAATACAGTTTGTTTCCTGGTTCTTTGTCGTAGGAAAGGCCGAGAAGATATTTGATAGAATAGTTGAGCATTTAGATTTGCTCTCAGATAGGATAGGTCTGTTTTGGGGCGGTCCTGGAGTCCTGGATCAAACGAGTTAATTAGGAGTAAAGATGGAGAGATTTAAGAGACATTACCTTATTATTTACTTCCTCATTTTATCCCACAATCTGGTTCTTTTTATGCAAAACAATGTTATTCTGTTACCACAGCTATTATATCACATTTTGAGTAACTTTGAAAGCCAATGAAGAAAAATAGTAAAAAAAAAAAAATAGTCAAAAAAAGCATACCTTTTTCTAGAGAATTTCTAAACCACTTTCCCTCTTTCTTAAATTTTTAATTCATAATTCATACTTTTCACCATATTTTCTGGTTATAAAAATAATACATATTCATAAAATTTTGGACTAAATAAAGGGACATATCAGTTAAAGTCCCATCACTGATTTATTCTGTTAACTTCATTGCATATTTTATTTCAAGCTGTTCCTCATTTGGGATTATATGTACAATTTGTATCTTGACTGGTTTATTCGTCCTAAGTATTTCCCTTTATGTAAACAATACTTTAAAAATATAATTTAGCTGTATAATGTAAGATTGGTTATGGCAATAAATAAAACATATTGTTTCTTTTTAAACATTATTATGGGTACATAATAGTTTATATTTATAGGGTACATGTGATGTTTCAGTACAGGCATATAATTTGTAATAATCAAATCAGAGGTATTGGGGTATCCATTACCTCAAGTATTTATCATTTTTTTGTTATTAGGAACATTCCAAGTCCACTCTTTTAGTTATTTTAAAGTTCATATTGTTTGTTTTGTTTCAGGATTATAGAACTGAAGGAAATGGTTTCTGATGTTAATCTCAGTTTTAATAAGCTTTCCTTTATATCCTTGGAGTTATGTATGCTTCAAAAATTGACTTTTTTGGATCTCAGGTATTTATTGATACTATTGCTTGCCTTTTTAAAAAAAATTATAACTTGTCTTTGAGTTTTGCTTAACTTTTGCTACCTCGTATTTTCCTATGTAAGTATGGAAACTAGTCTTTAGTTTATTAACAGTATTTTAGGAGAAATCTAAGTAAGCACTTAGAAAATATTAGAAATATTAGGAAATGATTAGACATTTATCATTATAATTAGACATTTACAAGTTAAATGTTAAGGCAAAATTATTTAAAATATTAACCCATTCTAAGTAAAATTATAGATAACACATGGAAAGTATTTCCTTCACGTTGTTTCTTTCCTGAAAGTAAATAGCATAAAACTGCTATACCCTTATGTTGGCACAGTAGCTAGCATGGGTTCTCTTTAAAGAACCTGCTTGGTTTCAAAATATTACATTAAACATTCAATGCCAGAAATAACGAAAAAGAACACTATGAGTGGCAATAAAGAGAAAAGAAGCCATGTTTAAGACTGCAGAGGTAATAAGAAATTTAATTTAAATATGTCCAAATTGAAGTGACAGAATCACAAGTGTCACAGTTCTTTAAGGTTAATAACATATGTTTCAGGGGTAGATAGTCATTTATTTTCTTGGGCTTTAAAATTTTACTTGTAAACTATATCTTGATTGCCTGGGCTTCCATGTGCTTTATTAGGTATGTTTTTAGTTTATTTAAAATATAGCTTCTCTGTGATGATGCCACTGCACTCTAGCCCGGGTAACAGAGTGAGACCCTGTATTTAAAAAAAAAAAATATATATATATATATATATATATATATGTATATACACATATATATACACATATATATAGCTTCTCTTGCTTAGCTCAAACAGTAGTCAAATAATGATAAACTAATTTATATCTCTTCGAGAATTTGTTCTTCCCATAGAGACAAAAATGTTTTACTTATGAGATGGAAGCAAGTCCACTAATATCCTGCTCCTATTAGATGTGGAATTGCTTCCATTTTTGGGTGGCAATTACACTGACAAAACTGTAAAACCACATTTTAGTTCGTTATTAATGGAGCAGAGGGAAGAATCCAAGTCTCTGTTGCTGCTGTTTTTATTTCTTTTTGACCAAACTTGTCTGTGTGTATAAGCATCTGTCTATAATTATACTTGGAAGTTTCTAATTGAGTGACCAAATCTGCTTTTATGTCTGATATCAGGGAATAGAAACCAGCAATGGGTTATTCAACACAACTTAATACAGACAATAATTGGAGAAAAGTACAGAGAAAAAAAATATATAGGTTGTACTGTAGAAAATATGACTCTTACATGTTAGGCTTGACTTCTGAACCAAAAAAGTAGGTTTAGAGAAAATCATTCATTTATAATATGTAGCCATCTAGTTGGGAATAATTTTCTCACAGATATTTTCTATTATTAGTAATCATACTACCTCTAAAATCCTTCTACCTTCTTGTTAACCTCTTTTCTAGCATTGCTTCCAGGTCCTTCCAACAGTAAATGAGATTCTGTTTCCTGCCATGTTTCATTGTAAGAGCTAAAAAAAGAGGGGGGGGCACTGTATAAATTGAAATTCTAAATTTAGAGCAGAAAGGAACTTACTTAATGATTATGGAATAAAAAGCTCCAAGTTTCCAAATATAGAATCTCTTTAACTTTCTGTTTCATTTCATTTTTTTAATATTTTTCAATTCTTGGAGTAGAATTTCATATCTGTATGTTAGACATATGTATTAACACTAATAGAATATTTATTTCATGTGGTATTATAGACAATGGGGAAATATTACCCAACTCAATGTGAAAGAGTTGAGGGATCAATTTACCATGTTTACCCTGTAAACACTATTACACCTTTTATTAAAGAATTGATTGCATTATCAATTGGTTGCATATTGGTATTACTAGGATTTGGCACACCAAATATTTGAGGCAGCTGACTAATTCAAAATTCTCAGAATTTAGCCTTAGTGAGATTAGATCAAGGACTGACAAGCTGATCCATGTAATTTTTTTCTTGCTAAACATTTTAATTATAAATTAAACTTGTAAAAATTTTCAAGCTTTATAAATTATCTGTTTTGATTTCTAATTTAGGAATAATGTTTTAAATTCTTTGCCTGAAGAAATGGAATCATTGATAAGACTACAAGTGATCAATCTTTCCTTTAATAGGTAAGAGAAAAGACGATTCTAATTGTCACTCTGGAAAATATGTAGGTCTTCTTTAGTAGAGAAAACAACTAAAAGAGCCAAATAAAAAGGCCCCTTACTTTTGCATTATTTCAGTATCCAGATTTTATTTTCACTTAGTTCTGCTTAGAATTGAAAGTGATGTTGCTGTTTTAGAATTCTTATAATTGATATCTAACAGATTTTTTATTTTTACCTTCTTATTCTTTTATTTTTACCTCTCTGAGAAACCTGTAGCCTAGTAGGAAGACAAATATGCAAATAAATAATTATATTTGCTATAAGGGAAGCACAGCACATAGGAAAATGTGTCATCTGAGATTACCTGAAGGTAGAGGAGATAGAATTGAATCAGAGGTTTAATAATAGACATTTGCCAGGTACACAGGGAGAGGGCATCCCAGTTAGAGCAAATATCATGTGCTAAGGCACAAAGATGTGAGAACATTGGGTGTTTGGAAAACTTCAAGAAGCTCAATGTGCCTACAACCATAAAGTAAGGAAGTAGAGGAGTAGAACTAACTAATAGATGATGTTTGGCATGTAAGTAGTAGCCAGCCCTTGAAGAGCTTTTTATGCTAAATGAAACTTAAGATTTTATTCTGCAATCAAGATACTGCAGATCAAGATATTGTACTATCAAGATACTGTAGATAATTGAGTTACTAATTTTTATTCGGAGCTAATTATCTGCTTATGCTGTACCAAGTACTTTACATATACTGCCTCATTCTTATGAACACACTACATGGTAGTTCTGTTATTATGTCCATTTAAAAATCAAGGAATAGGCCGGGAGCAGTGGCTCACGCCTGTAATCCTAGCACTCTGGGAGGCCGAGGCGGGCGGATTGCTCGAGGTCAGGAGTTCGAAACTAGCCTGACCAAGCGCAAGACCCCATCTCTACTATAAATAGAAATAAATTAATTGGCCAACTAATATATGTAGAAAAAATTAGCCGGGCTTGGTGGCGCTTGCCTGTAGTCCTAGCTACTCGAGAGGCTGAGGCAGAAGGATTGCTTGAGCCCAGGAGTTTGAGGTTGCTGTGAGCTAGGCTGACGCCATGGCACTCACTCTAGCCTGGGCAACAAAGTGAGACTGTCTCAAAAAAAAAAAAATCAAGGAATAGAAGTTAAAAAACTCACCTCAGCTCTGCACAGATAGTAAATTAGAGAGCCGGGATTTGAATCCAGATGATTTGATTCCAGAAATTGGGCTCTTAACAACTATGTCATGATTTCTCCTATGATGAAAATTGATTCTGGTAGCAATTTAATAAAAATACTAATAGCTAACATTTACTACAACCCAGGTAATATCCTAAGGTCTTCAAATATATTCATTTAATTCTTATAACAAGCATATACATTTAGCACTAATTCACAGATGAGAAAGCTAATGCATAGTAATGTCAAAATACTGCTTATTTTAATATTTGTTTTGTCTGCTTCATTATTTTTACTTTCTTGTGTGTAGGTTATACCATTATTGTCATTATTTAAAATTATGTGCACTTCTCAGATCTCTCCTAATTTTTACTGGTGAATTGAGCTATCAGTTTTCTGTTGAGTTGTCAATTGAGCTATTAATATCAATTGCAAGTAATGTCTTTGGAGAGGTTACAAAAGGTAGCCCTAACTTCTGTGTTAACAGGTGAGCTACATCTTTTATAATTACCTGTTCATGGGTTGAGGAGAGGAAAGGAAAAAAAAAAAAAAAACAACCACTGTTTAGTGGCCATTTGGTCTATCTGTACTCCTGGTATGGGCTCTGCAGTCTCACTGGAACTTCAGAGCTGCCTTGAGGAACTTCAGAGCTGCCTTGAGTTTACCTATCACTATTGCTTCTTTTTACATCAAGGCAGCAAAGGAAGGGCAGTATGGGGAAGTGAAAAGGCCAAAGCTCTCCTTAAGCCCATCCATGTCTTTTCTGGTCCAGGCTGCAGTTTACGCCACACTAAAGCTGTGCCAGTCTCGGTCCCTCAAGGAGTCTTCAGTGATTGTGTGTTAATTGCAAATGTTGTTCTGAGAGCCATGAGCCTTCCCATCTCTCTCTTGTGGCATCTTCAGGGTTGCTTTGGACTAGGAAGCCAGCAGTCTATGCTAGTTGTCAGCTTTTTAAGAACCCAAAGTACATTAATTTTGGAAGCCTCAGTCAAAGCAAAATATAAATCTCTAATTTTACTTAATATATTGACAATGATTCTGTTTGTTTCATAAGGTGTAAAAGTGAACTAAGGAAGAATACGTACATGGAAACATTATATGGAGAATTTCAGGAAGAGATTTCCTTGTCTCCTGAATATGAACAGAAAAACATGAGAGAATTTACTCTGAAATTTTCTTTGATTTTATACAATAAGTAGTAACTGTTATAAGGCTGTCCACTCAACATATATTTCAAAGTTTCCAAAATTAGTCCTTTTTTTTATCTTCTGGAAAATTCAAAGAAAAACTTATGCCAAATATAAACTAACATACACTAAAAAAATTATTTCATGATACCAAATTTAAGATCATCTGTTTTAAGGAATGATTTTGATCTCTAATTCCAGTATAGTTCTGTTTATCTAATTCCTATGTTCTGTTCATTTATTAATAGATTCAAAATACTACCTGAAGTTCTATATCGTATCCTCTCACTTGAAACTGTTTTGATTAGTAATAATCAGATTGGATCTGTGGACGCTCAGAAAATGAAGACAATGGAAAATCTGACCACATTGGACCTTCAAAATAATGATCTCCTACATATTCCACCAGAACTTGGTAACTGTGTACACTTAAGGTAACTGCACCATCTTCTGAGTTCTGTTTATTTGATTGATTTGTTAAAGAGTTTTTTTTTTTTTCTTGCCGAGGTAAACTTGCAGGAAGCTGAAGTAACAGATTTAATATCCCATTAAAATCCAGAGTCTCAAGTTCATTTTTCAAATTTTACCAAATACATTTTTTAGCTTTGTTTATGTGGTATAATACATACACACACACACACACACACACACACACACACATATTAACTGATTGTTTCTGGTGGTACTTTTCTCATCACTGTTTATGTTTGTAACCTGAAACTCTACTGCATAAAAATGTCAGGAAATATAAACTCTTTAGCTTTGCATATAGGGTTATTTGAAATCTGATTACAAACTACTACTATTCCATTTCAAGCCCACCTTGGTCTTTCTCACTGTTTACATTTGCTGTTCCCTCAGCCTCAGATGCCCTTATCCTGCTTTGACCAATAATAAACCTAAATATCACCTTTGAAAACCTTCCCTATTCTCAAAGCAGCATTAATCCCTATTATGATTTCTCAACATGCTTTATGTGGATTCACTCTTCAGAAAAGAGTTATCCTAGTGTCTAGAACATAGTAAGCATCCAACAAGTGCTTATTAAGTTACTAAAGAGTGTTGGAGATGTCAACAGAAAGCCAAGTCATTAAGCAGAATGTGTCAGAAGTAATTTTATTATTGAAAACTGTATATTAATGCTTTGGCATTTTTTACTTCACTGGAGCAACACTGGCATCTGCTTTGGTACCTCATATTAGTCAATTATAGGAGACAAATACAGTTGATTCTCATTATTATTTTTTTTTTTTTTGAGACAGAGTCTCGCTTGTTGCCCAGGCTAGAGTGAGTGCCATGGCGTCAGCCTAGCTCACAGCAACCTCAAACTCCTGGGCTCAAGCAATCCTTCTGCCTCAGCCTCCCGAGTAGCTGGGACTACAGGCATGCACCACCATGCCCGGCTAATTTTATATATATATATTAGTTGGCCAATTAATTTCTTTCTATTTATAGTAGAGACGGGGTCTTGCTCTTGCTCAGGCTGGTTTTGAACTCCTGACCTCGAGCAATCCGCCCGCCTCGGCCTCCCAGAGTGCTAGGATTACAGGCTTGAGCCACCGCGCCCGGCCGATTCTCATTATTTATGGTGATTATATTCTACATAGTCACTGTGAACACTGAATTGGTGAATGCTGATCTCCTAGGGGAAATGTAGAGAGTTAGATTCCTATACGAATCAATACATAACCTTATTTTATGTGTTCTATGTAAAGACACCTTATTTAATATTGTTGACTCATTAACATTGAAATCATGGCCAATAGCACTATAATTTATGCCTGGTCAAAGCTTATCTAACACATGTATTTTCTCCATAAGGCACATTCATGCTTAGGGAAACTAGACAGCACTTTAGCACTACACTTGAGGCCATTTTAAACAGTGAAATCATCAATAAAAAGTACAAAAATTTGAAAAATGTCGTACTAAATGGACCACAAAAAGGATACTTATTTACAGTAAGAAGGCAAGAGCCTCACCTTGCTTGACCTCAGCTGAGAATGTGCCCATCAGGTGACTCAAACTTTTTGCTGCTCTGTGCATGTCCATGAATGATATTGCAAGTGCTATATGTATTGACTTTGGGGTTACAAATTTATTTTGAGTAGACAAATTTATAAATATGGAATCCATATATAGTAAGAATCAATTGTAATCTAGATTGTAAACCATTTTCTAGAAATTAAGAAAGTAAGTATTTAAAAGAATTCCCAAGAAACATAGAAATACTTTAAGATATAGTTTAGATCAACTATATAGTATGGTGTGAGTCTTTTGACTTTTGTTCACATAAATAGTTAAGCTATTACAAATTAATATAAAAATCTGTTCTATTTAAAGATATTCATTATATAAAACAAAACAGGCCTATAAATCTTAAATTGTATCTTATTTCAGAACATAGAAATAGATTTACATATGTGTATCTGGTCAAAGGAAGGAAAGGACAGACATTGTTTTAATGTTTTAGGGAGGCAGGGATTGGTGGTGGTGGTGATAATACATTGAAGTCCTTGGCATGGGTACTTGTTAATTTATTCATTCTAATACTTGTCTAAATCTAATTTGACCATTTGGTATATATAGTTATTATAAGATTGAAAAGAGGCTGGATAGAAGGGTGATTCAATTCACAGCTTTTTGAACTGAGACAAGTTTTTCTTACCTCCCTAAACTTGTATTTCCTCAATTATGAAATAGGAATATTAATGATCCTACATCATAGGATTGTTAGAGAATAGAATTAAAAGTTAAAGAGTGAAAATTACGTAGCTCAGTACCTTTCACATAATATTTAATAAATGTTTTGGTTATTTAGTTATAATTCTGTTTAAATGGTCAAATCTAAAAAAGGGCAGATATTTAAAAATACACAAATTTTATTTATAAAATTGCAAATGAAAATAGAAGAAAATTCTTGCTATGGAAAATGTTTAAGTTCTCAATTTTTCTCTTTTGTTCAGAACATTACTACTAGATGGAAATCCATTCCGTGTCCCTCGAGCGGCCATATTAATGAAAGGAACAGCTGCTATACTGGAATATTTGAGAGACCGAATTCCTACTTAAATTGGAGTTGTTTCATAATCCTGGTCAGGTTGATTCTTAAAAGGATATAACATTTTGTTTTAGTATTATCTTAAATATGATTGCTGTAATCTTGTAGTTTCCCAGTATCACCTAGCCATTTGTATAATTGGCCTGGGCCATATTCACTACCTTTAAATATTTTTACATTAACAACTATTTAACATTTTTCTAAGGTGTTGTATACATTGATAATGGTGAAAACCACATATTATGTTCATACATTTGTTGTGAATATTTTACACAGGATTTATCCGACTCACTTTCATTTTCTTATAGCAGGCAATTTCTTTAAAAGTGAATTTTTATTTAATGTGATTTAGTATTTTTGTAATAACAAAGCATAGAACTGGGGTTTTTTTTTTCATTTCTTTTTGTATTACATATAATGTGACCAATTGACTTGAATATGACTATCCTATTTTTACCTTTTTATTAGATATAAAATTGAAATGAATTTTACAGAATACTGGTTTTTGGCATTTAAAAAATAAGACCTTTCATTACTCATGATAGGAATTTTGTGATATGGTGGATCTCAGTACAAGTTTTAACATTCACTGTCTTGTTTTTGTTTTAATCTAGTTGAAATGTTTCTTTTCTAACTATTAGGTAGTTTTCTTTCCCCTGTTTTATGGAATTATTTTATGAGGGTTTGTTAATGTATGATATTTTAGGTCTGATGAAATAGTAATTTAAAAAAAAGGGTTGCTAATGTCACAGAAATGTACTCAAGATACAATTATTGGAGAAAATAGTGTAGAATTTAAACTTGACAATATTTTTAATGATGTCTTGGTATTGTTTCCATACAATAATCTTTAGATTTAAGACAATTAAAGAGATTGGATCTGAATATTTTCCTTTCAGTGAGAGTGTGAGCATTTAAAAACACCTTTTTTTCTTAAAAAAATGTATTGAAGACCATTTCTTATTGATTCTATAGATAATAGCAACAGAAAACAACTAATAACATATACCACATAGAAATCTTAAAATGTACTTTGTTTAAAGACTTATTAAGCAGTTATTTGTATGTCTGATCTATTCTGTGTGTGTTTTAATCTAACATTGTATGTCTTGTTTCCAGCATCTTAATTTTAAAATTTGCTTGTGATCTGTTGTTTTTTTTTTTTTTTTTTTGAGACAGGGTCTCCTCTGTTGCCCGGGCTAGAGTACAGTGGCATCATCATAGCTCACTGCAACCTCAAACTCCTGGGCTCAAGTGATCCTCCTGCCTCAGCCTCCAAAGTAGCTGGGACTACAGGTGCACATCACCACACCCAGCTAATTTTTCTATTTTAGTAGAGAACAGGGTCTTGCTCAGGCTGGTCTCCTCCTGGCCTCAAGCAATCCTTTCTCCTTGGCCTCCCAAAGTGCTAGGATTACAGGCATGAACCACTGGTCCAGGCCTGCTTGTAATCTTGGTAAGACTAAACTTGTAGTCATCTAATAATTTTCTAAAAGGGAATTTCATATAAGCAAACTTGATTTAATAAAAATTAAATGTAAACATTTTTGTTTATACCAAAATTATCAGAAGTAGGTTGATCAGTCATTATAACACCATATGATTATATTAAATATCCAATTCAATAGCATGTATGTCAATTTCTATAGATAGATTGATAGCTTTTGGATAATCGAGGCATGCTTATATTACAAAAAAAGGTCACTGCTAATAAAGATAAATACTACATATTCATAATAAAAGTTACATTTTTCAAATATTGATTACAATGTTTATGGTTTTGTTTCTTAAAAAACATGCCCTTTTCATATCACAACTCTGTCACTAAGAAGTCGTCTTTGATAGTAAACAAAAGACACTTTACAATAAGGTGACATTTTATTATTTATACAATAAAGAGACTTTTATGTTATTCAAAACACTTTTTTAAATACTGAAAAAGTTGAGTACACCAAAGCCGAAAATGGCTCTGCTATACACTGCACAGCATTATTTTAGTCCCTGTTTTTTATATCTGTACAGAAAGCATCTTCAAAATGCATTCTAATCACATTGTACACCTTTACCAATTAGTATCAACACATAAAATAAAACTGGAGAATACAGCTTGCATTTGCAAATTAACTGACAAAGTAATTTCACTAATCAGTAAATTTAAAATATAGATTCATAGGACTTCTTTGCACATAAAATGAAGCAGCTTTCAAGGTCATTATGGTCTCATACTGCAAAAAATCCATTAAGTACATTCACGATCTATGTTAATAAAGTAGTAAATATGTCTTCATTCAGTTTTATTTACATCAATATGTAGTTCAACTAAAAAGTACTGTTTAGTCATGATACAGTAGTCTTTTAAACACATACAAAAATGACAATTTTTATATATAATTTAAGCTTAAAATCACAATTATCTCAAAATATTAATTACAATACAGCCATTTCAATTAAACATGTTATGATTTTTTTTTATAAAATGGTAAAATTTTTTTATTAAAGTAAGCAATTTGTTTTGAATTGGCTAGAGTACACCCAAGTAGAAAACCTTAAATGTTAAGAGGTGTTTCCTGCCCCCTCCCACCCAAATTTGTATACAGCCACCTAGGCCAGCAAAGAGACAGAAAAGGCCCCAATTTATAAAGATTAAGTCTCTTTTGCTGCACTGCTGTGGCTTGTTAGTTCTTCCATAAAAGCTTTACAAGGGGCGTGTCAATAAACTATGCAATGAAACGCATGCATTAATATACAATATGTCTATGTAAAATGTCCATGTTTACTAATGCACATTAAGATGTTCACAAAGACTGCAAAAGAAGTCATAAAGAAGCACTTTACCAATTGCATATTGTAAATTTGAAAACTATAATATAATGGAATTTCTTTGAAATCAGATCCCAATTCAAGTGCTTTCTCTGGCTAAAGGAGCTCTGATTACTTGGCCTTCAGATGTCACTGTTGTGCTGCACATATGGTAGTGAAGTCAGATGTCATAAAAGAATGAGTCTGGAGACTGTCTTCATTTTACTAAAATAATGACTATAAGTTGCATCACTGCCTAGCAATTTTTCTTAAACTTACAGAAGAGTGAAATATTTCACTAATTGAATTATATGACTTCAAATAAAAAAATGGAAAATTTGCATGTTTGGCATATGGGATGATATTAACTTGTATAGATGGAATTAAAACTTCTTTATAGAGTAATAAAAGGATTATGCCCCAAAAATGAATGAGGTCAAAAGTAATCAAGTATCAAGTAGTTTAGGAAATAAAAAATAATTTTCATGGACATTTAAAACCCCTAAAAACATAGTATCTGGTATCCTTTTACTTATAATTTTTAACAAATCAATTGAAAACCTTCTACTACCTTCCTTCATAACTGCTTGTCTTAGTTTAATATTTCTTTTCTGAACAGAAAGAGACCATAGTTCATTTGATGATTTATTAATGCTTATATACAACTGAGTGGGGGGTGCCCTTGGGTGGTGGTAAAGTGAGAATAATAAAACTACAGTACTTGCAATAACCTACAGTAACCTTGGAATCATCTTATTTTGGAAGGTCATTTGTGATGGTCTTTGAATTTTACAAACAGAATTCAGTAGGTTTACCTCTGATTTTCCACTAAACTTGAAAAAATTTTCTTCTTCATGTGAAGACAATCCTTAAGCTTCCTTTAGTCCCTTCTATACACTGAGTACCAAGAGAAACTTGATTGGCTCTTCAAGCAAAATATATCTGGTTTGTCTTTCTATCAGTTATCTTTCTCCTTTTTATTCCAAACAAAACAGTAAGATTTGCATTTTCAGGGACGCAAATGTAGTTGAGGATGTTAAAGGGAAATGCCTAAACATCATAAAGCAGAAGTGTTAAACATTTATTGCTTTCCATTAACACTAGGTGTCGTCAAAGCTAAAGCCAAATTTCCTAGAGTAAAATTTAACAAAAGACAGTCCTTACTGACATGAACCAGAAGCCTTTTTCCACATGCAAGACCAGTAAGAGTCCTCTGAAGTGGAAAGACTCTACAAGTATTGAAAATAAAATTTATTTCAACAATAACATTCTAAAAATAAATTTTCAATCTTTCTAGCAGATGTGGGAACTGCTTTATGTTCTGTCTGCCTGAGAGTTTCATCTTGGTTTTTGTATGATCTTTCCAAAAAATTATGTATAATTTCCTGACTAAGACATATTCTTTAATAGAGGGCTGGGAAGGGTAAGAAGGATGGAGAGATACAAAGAAATACAATGTGATTTCTTTTGTCCATTTTTCAAATGCTTTCCTTCCTTAATCTAGCTATCATAAAGGTCAACTGACCTGCATACCTGGGCATTTAACTTCATTTAAATTTTAGCTGTGCAAAACAAATGTGCAAAGAAAAATGCCTTCTATATATGTGTGTCTATACATAGACACAAAACCTGAGTCACAATAAAAGCTTTTAATATAAGAAAACTTTTCTTAATGTAGGAAAATAACCTTTAAAGAGCCAAAAAATACCTTTGTACAATATAAGCAGCTAACTTTAAAACTTCAGTGTGCTTAAGTATTACATATTTTATAAGACCCAGTAAAAGAGGGATCATTTATGTTTGATAGTTTCTTTAATTACAGCTGAGATAACCACATTTTTATTTCTAACATTTATTTTCATTCCCCTGAATTAATTTTTCTTTAAAAAAAAATCCAACTATCCTGTTTAATTTCTGACAGTTCCTGTTTTTTCCTATATTGAGGACATAGGAGATTTGGGTTTGCTAGGGATATAGCTTAGTGCCAAGCCACAATGGAATTCTAAAATTCAAAACAAGTACAATATATAATCTATTATTAAGAGATACATAACTTACAAAAATACTTTTTGGAGAGAGTTGGGCCAAAGTCTGCATGCAGCTGTTCTCATTTTCAGGCTCCCTTTCTACAGACTATTAGCTCTTAAAAACCCCTTCTTCATGCTCTATTTCCATAGCTTTGGGTAGGTTTCTTACCTTTTTCATACTTGAATCCTGAATTGTCTCAAATGAAGTACCCTTGCTCCTGTGCTGCCATCAGTTACAATGTCCTCTTTCCTTATCGACTTCATTGTTTTCTCTTTCTCTTTAGGGGCTTAGAACTAGGGAATGACTCCTTGGCCTCCTCTCTTGTGCAACCCTACTCATTAGGGGAAAATTTGCTTAAATGTTCCACTGTCTTATCTGATTTAAGGCTCAATTCAGGACATACTTATTCCCTGGGCTACATCTCATGCTTTCTGAGGAAATTTTATAGAAAAATCATTAAAAGTTGCTTCTCCGTGCTGCCCCAG